ATATATGTATTTCACTATCTCACATTTCTTAATTTTTAGCGTTATTTGACACTCATGAATACGAGACAAAGAAAAATATCAGTATGAGAAATGTATTTCTACATTAAAATATTTTCTTCATTCACAWAATATAAATATAAATAATCATATATTATTCTATAAATTATTTATAGAATAATAAATAATATGTTGTTAAAAAATAAATACATTAGTAGGTATAAATAAATAATTAAACTAATTTTAATTTTTATAACATTTTTTAATATAGGTAACAAAATAATGATGATGCTGTATCGCAGATAAAGAGAAAATATTAAACTTTTCACACTATCYCCAACATAAAAAATCCCGAATACGCCACACAACTACACAAGTTGCAAATAATTGCAATATTGCTATATGATATAATATAGTGTTTTTACAAAAATGTAGGTGGGACTAATAATATATAATAATATATTGTATTATTATGTACATAATTACCACAGCAATAACAATGATGAAATTAAAACACGAGACGCCGTGATTTCCAAAATTTTACTTATAAATATAAATTGTAATTATTCACACATGTAAATTGAAAGTGTAACACGAGGGATAGGTATAGGTACGACGTATCTTTAAGGTATATTTTATGATGAAGTAAAATTTTAAAATGTATACGTTCGTTAATTTAACTGCATAGTGTACATTATAAAGTATAGTTAACAAGGTGAATTATTTCGTATTTTAATGAATTGCAGTGATGGTAAAACCCAATCATCGGACACTAACCACAACATTTTTAGACGCAGGAAACTTGAAAAAATTAAAGAATAATCTAAAATCATCAGGCATCCRAAACAAGTAAGTTATGAAATATTATTTATAATGGCGGTAAATATCTTGTCATTTGTTTTAAGATTTTTGTATACTTACAATATTTATAGGTAGGTATTATAGGCATTAACCCAAAGGGTTCGATAGGACTATACAACTAAAAAAATCATAATTTTTTTTATTGTGTGAAAATATAGTGCTTAAAAAAAGAAAAATTTTAGTGGTATAAAAATGTTTGTCGGACAATTGCTTCGGTGTTTATTTATAAGTCGCGTAAAACGCGTGACGTCATAAACTCACACCGTCTGCCGGGCCGTATCTAAAATACACGCGTTGTAGTTATTTCGCTCGATTAAAATAACTATAGAGAAAAATTGATTTAAGGTATAACCTGGGTTGGGCAAGATATACAAAAATCAGTTGGTATCGAGATACTAGATACAAGATACTTTGCTTTGGAGTATCGCGATACTAGATACTCGATACTTGGCTTTGGAGTATCGCGATAYTCAATACTYCATACATTTTAATAAAATTAGTCACTGGTTTTTAAAAAAAATATGTTTATTATTATGGGGATGACCTCCTTCGTTAAATATGGCAAATAAAATAATAAAAATTGACACTTAATTCAGTAATAATAAAACAAATCAATTACGACATAACTTAATCTCGTGGTCGTCAACGATGCTATAATAACCACAATACAATTACAGAACAATTAAATAATAATTATTATATCAATAATAATTCTACATTAAAAATTATACAAATACATAATAAAAATAATTTTAGTAATAACATAATATCCTAAATCCTAATATATAATAAATAATAGTTTATAATTTAATGATTTATCGGTACTGAAAAATAATTTCCAAGGGCAAGATACTTAAAAAGCAGTATCGATATACTAGATACGAGATACTTTGCTTTGAAGTATAACGATACAAGATACTCGATATTTCATATAATTGTATCGAGATACAAGATACAATTGTATCTAAGATACGTATCTTAGATATTTGTATCGAAGATACTGCCCAATCCTGGGTATAACTTACTAAAGTACATTTATAAAAAGATTATAAATATCTTTAGATGATAATAATATTATTATTTTTACAGTATTAAAATTTGTTACAGGATAGTTTATAGGAAAGATAAAAAAATAGGGAATAGAGTTGTTATTCCATCATGTGTGGTCAAAAAAATGCATGAACGTTATCCTGAGAAGAACGAATTATATGTTGGTTTTCAAAACGCGTAATTCGTGTAATCCATTAGACRTTTAACATTATAATTAATAATATATTATATAAAAAAAATAATATAAAATATGTAAGTTGTTTTATTGTAGTATAAACCTACTATATACTTACCCGTATTCAATTTTATGAACCTACCTTATTTGAATTAGTACCTGGGTATATTTTATTGGGGCGCTCACAAATTGCCTTCCATCTGACACTCGAATTGCCTCCCGAAAAAAAAAGTAGTTGGAAAAGTAGTGACCATCTTGTACTAGAATCACCTACGATAGTTATAATAAATCGATTTAGGTATAACCTTACATATTAAATTAAACKGAGAAAATAATACATAAAATAAATATTTTGGTAGACTGTCAGGTGTAATAATAATAAATAATAATACGTAGGTATAATGAATAAGTTTACTATTTTCGAACTGGATTACACTTATTAGTTTTTAAATAAGCAGAACATATTTTTTTTGTACTCGTCCATCGCTTAACGTCATTGGCTAAAGTTGTTTGGAATCCAAACTTTAACCATCACAAATTAAAATTGTTTTGTCTTTTTTACTAATTACACTAATAACGTTAATTTTTATAACACTACGTGTAATTGTTATTTACGAAACTGACTGTGTTGAACGGTGATGACGGACTAATCTTTAACTGATAATCAGTGATCGACAAGATTGTTGCATTTGGCAAATTAATCTGCCTRGGAAATACTGTAAGTCTTAAAATAATATTTTTGAACATTATGGAAATCGATATAATCGATATCATCGATAGTAAAAACTATCGATAATCTAAGTATACTATGGGAGACAATTCGAGTAGACTGTTTGGGTATAATTRAATTGCCTCCGAAAACATCCGAAGGCAATTCGAGTGTAACCTTTTATTGTAAGGTTTGTTTTACATAATATTTATTTTAGTTCTTAAACTATAAATTATAATAACAAATGTTGTTTAAATTTTAATTAACAGTGTATAATATCATTTAATATAATATATTTGCTATTTTATATATTTTAATTTGTTGTCTTTCTTGTAAACTGTCCTGAAACACGTTTTAATACTGTAAAAATCATATGATCATCTAAACTTTAGATTTAGATTCTAAAGAAATGTATAACCTTTTTATAAATGTACTTTAGTAATTTATACCTTGTATAAATGTTTCTATATAGTTATTTTAATCGAGCGAAATAACTACAATGCGTATATTTTAGATACAGCCAGGCGGACGGGACKGTGTGATTTTATGACGTCACGCGTTTTACGCGACTTGAAGCAATTGTCCGACAAAAATTTTTCTTTTTTTAAGCACTTTATTTTCACACAATAAAAAA